CCGGATTATCGGAAACATACCTGGTGTCCTAAATTCGAGCGGATGTGATTCCGCGCATGCCTCGTCGACAATTTTGTGTCCGGAGGTATGAATCGAACTCGGTACCCTGTGGGTATGAAGCCATCGTGCTACCAATTACGCCACCGCGAGCCACACGGATTATGCTTTTTTCGGCCTCATAACTTGTTAGTTTGTTATATCTAAATATTAACTTTGTGTTATTCAACAATAAATAGATACCACAACGTGATATTTCGTTTAACAGCTGGAGGTAAGATTCGAACTCGGTACCCCGTGGGTATGAAGCCATCGTGCTACCAATTACGCCAACGCAGGCCACACGGATTATGCTTTTTTCGGCCTCATAACTTGTTAGTTTGTTATATCTAAATATTAACTTTGTGTTATTCAACAATAAATAAATACCACAACGTGATATTTTGTTTAACAGCTGGAGGTAAGATTCGAACTCGGTACCCTGTGGGTATGAAGCCATCGTGCTACCAATTACGCCACCGCGAGCCACACGGATTATGCTTTTTTCGGCCTCATAACTTGTTAGTTTGTTATATCTAAATATTAACTTTGTGTTATTCAACAATAAATAAATACCACAACGTGATATTTCGTTTAACAGCTGGAGGTAAGATTCGAACTCGGTACCCTGTGGGTATGAAGCCATCGTGCTACCAATTACGCCAACACAGGTCGCATGGGTTATGCTTTTTTTCGGCCTCATAACTTGTTAGTTTGTTATATCTAAATATTAACTTTGTGTTATTTAACAATAGGTAGTGTAACAATAGGTATTAATCGAACTCGGTACCTTGTGGGTATGAAGCCATCGTGCTACCAATTACGCCAACACAGGCCGCATAGATTATGCTTTTTTTCGGCCTCTTAATTTGTTAGTTTGTTATATCTAAATATTAACTTTGTGTTATTCAACAATAAATAAATACCACAACGTTAGGCTCACTGCTGATTTCCGTTTAATAGCTGGAGGTAAGATTCGAACTCGGTACCCTGTTGATACGAAGCCATAACTCTACCAATAACGCCAACACAGGCCATGACTATGCAACTTTTTTTTGGCCATATGATAGTTGTTATATCTAAATATTAACTGTGTTTTTCAACAATAACTAAATACACAATGTTAATCGTACACTGCTGATTCCGCTTTTTAGCTGTGCAATCGGAGGTCCGGATAATTGGAAGTCAGAATAATCGAAAGTACGGATAATCAAAATCCCGAAAATTGATGGTCGGATAATCGGAAGTCCGGAAAATCGAATGTCCGGATTATCGGATTCCGGATGATATATGTCCGGATGATTGGAAGTCCGGATAATCGGAAGTCCAGATATTCCAATATCATTCCGATAATCCGAATCCGGATAAAGCGAAACTCCTGATAATGCGAAAAAAATTTTTGGTCAAAAATTTTGGAAAAAAAAATTTTTGTTCAAAAAAATTTCGGGAAAAAAATTTTTGGTCAAAAAACTTTTGGGAAAAAAAATTTTGGTCCAAAAAAATTTGGAAAAAAATTTATGGTCCAAAAAATATTGGTCCAAAAAATATTGATCCAAAAAATTTTGGGAAAAAAATTTTTGGTCAAAAAAATTTTGGGAAAAAAAAATTGGTCAAAAAACTTTTGGGAAAAAAAATTTGGTCCAAAAAATTTTGGAAAAAAAATTATGGTCAAAAAAATTTTGGTCCAAAATTTTGGGAAAAAAATTTTTGGTCAAAAAATTTTGGGAAAAAAATTTTTGGTCAAAAAAATTTTAGGAAAAAATTTTTGGTCAAAAAAATTTTGGAAAAAAAATGTTTGGTCAAAAAAACTTCGGGAAAAAAATTTTTGGTCCAAAAAATTTTGGAAAAAAATTTATGGTCAAAAAATTTTTGGTCCAAAAAATTTTTGGTCAAAAAAATTTTGGGAAAAAAAATTGGTCAAACAAATTTTGGAAAAAAAAATTTTTGGCAAAAAAATTTTGGAAAAAAACAATTTATGGGAAAAAAATTTTTTGGGAAAAGAATTTTTGATCAAAAAAATTTCGGGAAAAAAATTTTTGGTCAAAAAACTTTTGGAAAAAAATTTATGGTCAAAAAAATTTTGGAAAAAAAATTATTGGACAAAAAATTTTTGGTCAAAAAAATTTTGGTCAAAAAAATTTTGGTCAAAAAAATTTTGGAAAAAATTTTTGAAAAAAAATTTTGGTCAAAAAATTTTTTGGTCAAAAAAATTTTGGAAAAAAAAATTTGATCAAAAAAATTTTAGGAAAAAAATTTTTGGTCAAAAAAAATTTGGGAAAAAAATTTGTATCGTCAGATTTGGGCAAGTCTTTGTTAAAAATTTGGTGTTAATAAGTAGTCGAATGGCCAAGAGCAGTAAGTGACCGTCGTTAAAGTGACCGGTATTTTTAAAGCATCTTTCTATTTGGACAAAAACTTTCCCATTTAGCGTTCAAATAACCGGGCAAAGAAATAGTCAAGAGCGTTAAGACACTTTCTTGGCATCAACTAGGGTTTCAGTTCGAAACCGAGAAGATGATCGTCACAATTTTTCAAATAAATAAAAAATTAGTTCTGAAAATTGAATTTAGGTGGCATATTTCGTCCTTGGGACTTAGGAGCTCATAAAAAATTCTATAAATTATAATTTACTGGTCTGAAAAGTCAGTATAAAATACACAAATAACTGAAACAAGTCTTTGAACATTTTCACTCTCCTCTCACTCTTCTCAAAGAAACAAAGGCTCTTTGTTTGCTCCAACTCCCTTTGTACATCATTATAATATTCATGCTCAGATGTTTAATATTATTCATCCTTTCTTGCAGTTTGTTGCCTCTACAAGCTGTCGACAGATTGTTTCAAATCAACTTTATCAAACCTAGGTTTGTTTGCTTAAACAAACTAGGTAGAGAAAAAATTGGCAATGCGGCCTGCGTGAAACTATGAGAGATCCAAAAGTCCTGGAGGTATTCCAATAATTATAGGTGGTTCATTGTAATTGAATTGGAAATCTTAATAGGCACTTTGCTCTGGGCTCCCAGAATCTTCTATGACGGACAAAACTTATTTGTAATCATTATTTTTAAAATGTGATATCACTAGCAACATTAATTAAATAATAAATATCTTTATATTAAATATACACAATGTTGATGGCTATTAATCAAATATTTAAAATAAATGGTTATTGTAAAGTTATATATTATTCAAAGCACTTCAGCGTCAATAATCATTGACAATTAATAAAAACTGTGTGATGCTTTTGTATACCTTCAGAATGCAATATTTGATATTCAGTTCTTTAAAGTACTTGATGTTTCAAAGAATGAATTTTTCATTATGAAAATGATTGTGAGTGTAAAAGCTGATTCAATAAAGAATGTATGCTGAATTACTTATAGTAAACAGTTCAACTGAATTATCTACATTCACTGGAGTTGCTTTCTGTACCATTTACAGTTTGTTTTTGTGTCCTGCATAACTATACCAATTCATATATTTTATATTTTCTTAGGTTATTGTAAGCAAAAAGTACTGTTGTACAAACTTGGTTTTGTAAAATAAACTTAAAGAATTTATTAGCATTTTTAAACTTAATTTATTCAAAGAATATTGGTGATTTTATATGATTAAAAATGATGTTTTATATACTAAAGTGAATATTTAAGTTTTTATTTGAATAAAATGAATCTCACATGCAACAAAACTTACTGAAAGTTGTGACCTTCTAGCTAAATTGCTTATGTTCCTTAAATAAGAGTTTATTTGTAATATTTGTAAATATGAACACAGGGTATTCTAATATTGTCTAGGATTTATATATCTAATTTCGTATAGGCCATTATTGTTATGAATTTATATTCACAGTAAAAGAACTGTCAAACGTTTGACATATAGGACGGTGGCGGCATCTAACACAGAACCATATGAACCCGGTAGTCACTACGTAGTTCCTCACAAATTCGGAACGATTTTGCATAGAGGCGCTGCATGCAATCGCCCTACGAACTAAGGAATATTAGTGGATTCCCTTTGGATTCCTTTATAAGCAATTATATATAATTATGGACCCGGTTTTGAAGGAATATCAATATATAAATTTGTATATCGCTTTATACTATATATATATATATATATATATATATATTTCTTATTGTGATTTGAAAAAAGCATGGATAGGAGCCCATGGATTTTTAAAATTGAAATTAAAATTCACAAATCGATTAAAATATATACATTTACAAACGTACCTGTTTATAATTAATGCAGTAGATTGCACTTGCTGTGGAATTGTAAGATGTCTATTAATCATATTATTATTTTCAATAAAAAAATTAATTGCTGAAATAAAAGTTTAAATATTTTCAACTGAAAAGAACAGTTTGTTTACATTATTGATATTAATTTTGATAATGGAAACTCAATGTATCTATTCACAAAATTTTATTGTTCTGTATTGTATATAAATATATATATATATATATATATATATATATATAATAACTTGTAAAGTATATAATATATAACTTTAAAATATATAATTTGTTCTAGTTGTAATAAGCAACGACAGAGATATAATTTTCCTACAATTATATGACAGTCGATTTTATTAACTATATTGTTTTTGTTTTTTAACTATATTGTTAATTGTTTATTAAATACCTAATTCATACTTGTTTATCTATGACACAATCATATTTTATTTTGTACTTATGACTTGTAAAATAGCATTTTGAATACATTCTTCATGGATTTGATAATTAATAAATATGGATCTTTAGTACAAAAAACAAACTAATAACAATAACAGTATCTAACAAAAATAAATAAAAATTAGTAACTAATATTATATAGACACATTCGTTTTTTTCTCTCAAAAATCAACTCATAATTAAAATTGTATGTACATTTTAATTGCCAGAACATGGCACTCTCATTATATTATCATTAGCCATTTAAATCTCGTTGTATAAATATGCTTGTTGAAAACAGTTTAAACAGTTTGCAAAAAATCTTCACAAGAAATACTTGACTTGAATGAATAAAAAGTATTGACTTTATTTAAACATATTGTAGGTGTTTTTGTAAACAATCAAGGTGCGTGTGGAGTCTGTGTGAAACTGTAGAAGGCCAAGTTAGAGGCAGTCCTAAAGCCTGGGTTGGAGTTGATCGACTGTAAGGTACTGAACTCAGGACATACACAAGATGGTCTATTGCAGACAGGAAAAATCTGGATAGGTCATCAATCTGGATTCTTGAAATCTCCTGTAATGGAAATAGTTGAGTTGTAATGAAAAATAATAAATTGCAGTATTAATAGCAATATTATTTTTGCTAGTAGTATATTATAATATACTACTAGCAAAAATAAAATTGCTTAAGAATGGTGTAATAGAAATGCACACCACAAGTTATGAATGTATCAACAAACATAAGACTTTGTAATGATGTTTTGCATCGGCAAAATATATATGAAAAGCTGTTCCAGCATCTTTTTGAAACATTTATGTACACTTTATATAGAATTGAATCATATTTGCAGTTTTATTTAATATAATTCAATTAATTGTTGATTACTGCATTTTATATGCAAAGATAATACATACTTATTTTAATAATATTAATACTATAATTATAATTATATATATTATAAGCAATTGCTTTTTACCGTATGTATTCAAATCTACCAATTTTTGAAATAAATTATCTATCACATGTTCAAAGACTATACACTGTATATATTCAAATCTTATTTTGGAAAAAAAATTAAAAAAAAAAATTTGAGAAAGAAAATTTTTGAAAAAAAAATTGGGGAAAATAATTTTGAGAAAAAATTGGAGAAAAAAAATTTTCAAGAAAAAAATCTACAATCATTTGAAAATATTTTCAAAAATTAAATGTAATTTATAAATGATTAAAAAATAAATTATTAAAGAAGGTGTAGTATCTAAGTAACTGTTTTGAAATTACACTGAAGATGAGGCATACCATAGTCTCGAAACATCTGTAATTACCAAATAAAGTGTGTGTTAAAAATCTGAGTGTTGTATTGTTAATGTATAATGTACATATATGTACATAAGTACATATACTCTATGATGTAAAGACTGTCAAGTAAACATATTGTACATCGACAGTGTTTTTCGACATGAGGATTTGTATTGGATTAATACAAGATAAATTGGAATGAATGGTTCAAGGTCCCGTTCATATAACTTTCTATTAGAGCAGATGACCAAAGCGTCATTCTCTCGTTCTCTCGCACGCGACTGGTTGTAAGTTGTATGCCGTTTGTCTTATGTCTTATGCTTGTATACAGTTAGTTCAACCTGTTGCTTCGGCTCGAACGTATATGTTGTCTTGCTACCTGTTCTTCATCCGCGTTATACATTCGCGCTTCGCACATATCTTATCGAAATCAGTGATTTGGTGTAGATTTACGAATATCGAATTGGGTAATTAAATTGCAGTGTAATGATACTTTACTGCTGATATGCAGACAGCACCTCCGTTACCGCCCAAGACTCGAATTCGAACCGCGAATCAGAGCCACGTAGTTACTATACGCATTCGTGATGAACCCCCAACATATTACTGCTGCGGCAGATGTTCACCTAGTGACACATTTGACAGTGGTACGTGTAGTGATTTGGACGCGACGCCAATACCGCCAATATCTATAGATGCGGATAGCAAAACGCAGCAGGCCGGGATCAGCGTCACAGTTATTCACGGCCTCGGACCGCCGCGGAGCGACGACGGCGACAGCAATATCAGTTGCGACTCGCTCAGGTAAAGAAAATTTTGCACAAATTGCAAATTATTGTCTACTAATAAAATAAATGTGCCTTCACATAAACCACAAAAGTTATATATATATATATATATATATATATATATATATATTGTATGTTTATGAATTTGATGTTGACATATGTAACAACAAAGTCTAGTAATCGGGCATAAGATCAATAAAAACCTGAATTTCTATCAAAAATTCATTCACTGCAGTGTGTTTAAGTCTTGTGTAGTCGTAACATCTACAAATATCCTCCAAAAAAATCGAGTGTTTTTAACAAAAAATTATTAGTGATATGGATATATAAATTATTACAGAATAAACCTGATGATGGAACGTACCTAGTTCCGAAACGTCGTATTAAACATCTTCAAAAAACAAATTGTTTTTTATTATTGGATTTACTGTTCGGAAAAGAAACAATCAATATATTGAAATCCAGGACTTATCTATTGAATATATATATATATATATTGAAAACTTTTCTTGTTTTTTTATTTTGTATTATTTTTGGATTCTTGTTCGAAACTCTACAAAATATACACAAATCCAAGATTCTACCATTCAATATATATATATATATATATATATATATATATATATATATATATGTGTGTGTGTGTGTGTGTGGGTATGTGTGTGTTTTTGGTGTCAGAATACTCTATAATAGATTAACTGTATTTTAGGTTGAAATAATAATGTATAAATGGATTAGTTCTCAAATATAATATACAAATATGACCTCTCAAGACAGTTTTCCACTTCGCTGCTAAACTTGAATGATGAAGATGAATATACATGTTTGTTTATAAACATTTCTTAGAAGATTATGCCCCATGCAATCACCTGAGCAAATTTTAAATTGTTTCTGAAACGAGTCATTAGACCAATTTTGCAAAAATTTATTTCTTAGTTTCAAATTGTTTTACTCGTGATATTCTCAAACTAAAGTAATATGCTAAAAGTAAAATTAATAAGATGTATAATTCTATAAAAATGCAATTCATTATAAAAAGGTATCATAAGTAGTGATGAATGAAGAATTGACATAAAAAATAATGACGTCATCAGTGTTTTTTTTAGTGATAACACAAGAAATAAAGGGTGTTTCGAATGGTTTTGTTAATAATATATATATATATATATATATATATATATATTTTTTTTTTTTTTTTTTTGTATAGCGAAGGAAATGCTTTTATGCATCCTAGACCGGTCTTCTGTCTGGGTATGTCGGACTCGATACCGCCCTGGTATAATACCGACTAAAACCTCCGCTTTGCCCCTGCCTCTGGTATATATATATATATATATATATATATATATATATATATATATATATGTAATGCAATTCATAATTGAGGCTTATAATGCAATGTTCTCCCACAGCTGATGACAATTAAATGAATTCATAGTAATGAGAAAAGTTGACGTGAGAAATCTTTATTATTGCCATCCAAGATATTAATTTAGTCATTTGAATGCATTGTTTTATGTTATTATAAATATTGAATACATAATTTTTGCGCGCTGGATTACCGTGTAAAAATCGGAAATTTAAAATATGCACCTTCACAACAATCTCAACTACAAAATTGAGTTTTTTGGATATATGTTGAAATTGAAGAAACAATTTTGAAGCAATTTGGCAGCAATTCATACCAATTTTATTATACCTTTGCATTGGAGATAATTGACAATGAAAGGATAATGATAATCAATCAGTGCTATTTAAAACTAATGTGTTACAAATTATAAAATTAGTGATAGAATTAAGAATAGTGCAGAAGCTTGTATGTTCTAAATCGCTGCTAATTTTTACAAATTTTGATGACTTTTCAAAATTGAATGACTTGTAGACGTAGAGAAAATGTCGATGAAAGGGAAAAATTCGCTAACATACATACTGTTTCCAAATTTGGTCAAATTTTACGTTTATTCACAATTTGTTAACCATGTGAGTAACTACATAATTTTATCTTTTAGTTAATTATTTTATTTTATTGACTTGTTTTTACAATGTCTTTAAGTTTGTGTTTGTGTTTTTTTCTAGTTTGGCATGTATTGATATTTTTCATGTTTATTAAATCTTCTCTTAATCTTGTAATTTCATACATTTTGATAAAATGCTGAATAATGAAAAACTTGCAATGTCCAAATGTACATAATAAATAGATAACTATTTATTGTTTTTTCGACTATTTGGCTAAACCCTTCAAAAATATATGTTATAATAAATTAATTAAAAAAAAACTCAATTTAAAATTTGATAATCGATTGGCATTTAGTTTTATTTGCAATCGAAAACATGTTCATTCGCACCGCGTCTGACACGAATGAGTTAGTTTCGTGCATAACGAGTGTAAAATGAGAATTTTTTATATTGGAACTCTCATTTTATCTCCCCTTTCTAATATACAATGTTCATATTAATTCAAATTTATCGATTTATATAATCAATACATTCGAGTGTAAGTAAAGAGATTATCTTCTCTCAAGACAAACATCGAACCTCTCTTAAGCTAGCAAGACCAAATTAGCAAAATCGATCCGGACCTGTTGTATTATTTAGTACTTATTTTGCACTAATTTGCACCACAAAAAAAAAATTGTACTACGTGCCGTTTAAAAAAAACACGTGGCGCTGCTAGCTTTAATATTAAGCTAGCAAGACCACTTTTTGTTTTTGAAGAAAATAAAAAAATTTAACGGAAATTGATTAATTCGAATTTGCACTAATTTGCACCACCAAAATTAAATCAAAAAAATTGAAAATAGCTACTAAAATCAATACCCCACGACGCCCGGTCCGCCCTAATATGATACTTCCATATTAGAGCGTTTTCAACGTACGAGTTCAAAGTATAGAAAAAAAAATTGAACGAGCAGAATCAAATAAAACTAATACAATAAAAACATTATAATATCTGGTATTTAAATAGAGATTTTCAGATTTTGCACCACTGCCCTTCCCTCATTAATCAACCCCAAATTGTATTTACTTCCATATTGGAGCGTTTTCAACGTACGAGTTCAAAGTATAGAAAAAAAAAATTGAACGAGCAGAATCAAATGAAACTAATACAATAAAAACATTATAATATCTAGTATTTAAATAGAGATTTTCAGATTTTGCACCACTGCCCTTCCCTCATTAATCAACCCCAAATTGTATTTACTTCCATATTGGAGCGTTTTCAACGTACGAGTTCAAAGTATAGAAAAAAAAAATTGAACGAGCAGAATCAAATGAAACTAATACAATAAAAACATTATAATATCTAGTATTTAAATGGAGAATTTCAGATTTTGCACCACTGCCCTTCCCTCATTAATCAACCCCAAATTGTATTTACTTCCATATTGGAGCGTTTTCAACGTACGAGTTCAAAGTATAGAAAAAAAAAATTGAACGAGCAGAATCAAATGAAACTAATACAATAAAAACATTATAATATCTAGTATTTAAATAGAGATTTTCAGATTTTGCACCACTGCCCTTCCCTCATTAATCAACCCCAAATTGTATTTACTTCCATATTGGAGCGTTTTCAACGTACGAGTTCAAAGTATAGAAAAAAAAAATTGAACGAGCAGAATCAAATGAAACTAATACAATAAAAACATTATAATATCTGGTATTTAAATAGAGATTTTCAGATTTTGCACCACTGCCCTTCCCTCATTAATCAACCCCAAATTGTATTTACTTCCATATTGGAGCGTTTTCAACGTACGAGTTCAAAGTATAGAAAAAATTTTTTTTTCTATACTTTGAACTCGTACGTTGAAAACGCTCCAATATGGAAGTAAATACAATTTGGGGTTGATTAATGAGGGAAGGGCAGTGGTGCAAAATCTGAAAATCTCTATTTAAATACCAGATATTATAATGTTTTTATTGTATTAGTTTCATTTGATTCTGCTCGTTCAATTTTTTTTTTCTATACTTTGAACTCGTACGTTGAAAACGCTCCAATATGGAAGTAAATACAATTTGGGGTTGATTAATGAGGGAAGGGCAGTGGTGCAAAATCTGAAAATCTCTATTTAAATACCAGATATTATAATGTTTTTATTGTATTAGTTTCATTTGATTCTGCTCGTTCAATTTTTTTTTTCTATACTTTGAACTCGTACGTTGAAAACGCTCCAATATGGAAGTAAATACAATTTGGGGTTGATTAATGAGGGAAGGGCAGTGGTGCAAAATCTGAAAATCTCTATTTAAATACTAGATATTATAATGTTTTTATTGTATTAGTTTCATTTGATTCTGCTCGTTCAATTTTTTTTTTCTATACTTTGAACTCGTACGTTGAAAACGCTCCAATATGGAAGTAAATACAATTTGGGGTTGATTAATGAGGGAAGGGCAGTGGTGCAAAATCTGAAAATCTCTATTTAAATACCAGATATTATAATGTTTTTATTGTATTAGTTTCATTTGATTCTGCTCGTTCAATTTTTTTTTCTATACTTTGAACTCGTACGTTGAAAACGCTCTAATATGGAAGTATCATATTAGGGCGGACCGGGCGTCATGGGGTATTGATTTTAGTAGCTATTTTCAATTTTTTTGATTTAATTTTGGTGGTGCAAATTAGTGCAAATTCGAATTAATCAATTTCCGTTAAATTTTTTTTATTTTCTTCAAAAACAAAAAGTGGTCTTGCTAGCTTAATATTAAAGCTAGCAGCGCCACGTGTTTTTTTTAAACGGCACGTAGTACAATTTTTTTTTTTGTGGTGCAAATTAGTGCAAAATAAGTACTAAATAATACAACAGGTCCGGATCGATTTTGCTAATTTGGTCTTGCTAGCTTAAGAGAGGTAAACATCGATTTAGTTTTAGAATTGCAACATTTTTTATAAAGTACTATCGTAAAGCCGAATTAGTAATTCCAATATGATGTGAAAGATGTTATGACAGGAAGCATTCCTTCCAAGGACAATAATTGATATCCTATTATTTTTTTCTTATTAGACGTTGTTGGTGTATAATAATAATCAAAAGGCTTTAAAAGTTTTTTTGAAAAAAAAATACTATTATTTTAATCAAAATTAAAGTCTTTTGTTACACAGAACTCATCTTTTCCTTATCCATTATTTTTTATTTACGCCAGAACTTATCATAATTTTGGAATATTATTGGTCATAGAATTTTTTATTAACTTCCCGTAGGGCAAGTTATAGTAATCGCAAAAAAATCGCAAATGAAAATTTGTATATATCTTTACGTTTCAAAGGTTTCTGAATATTTTGGCATACTTTAGAAAAAATGGATGTATGTGTGTGTGTGGGTTCAGATACAAATTTTCGTCGACGATTTTGGGAACACGGATGAAGCGGTTTGAATAATTTAGAAAACATTCGATTCGTATTGATAAGGAGACGTGCTGATTAGTTTTTGGCAAAGGCAGGTCTAGCCGTTCCGAAGATATGAGGCAAAAAGTGCCAAAAACGGTATCTCAGTTTTTAAGAGAACGGAGCGTCCGATTTGAATAATTCAAAAAACATTTTACTTGTATTAACAAAATGAACTGATCAAATTTTCATGAAGGCAGGTCTTACGGTTTCGGAATCTAGTAAAAAAAATGCCGTCTAGCGGTCAAAAATGATCATTAGACATATGCACATCAAATTATCAGATATTTTATAGAGATTTTAACAATAGAGTATAAATTTTGTTTACATTCCTATGAGTTCCGTACCAATGTTTATCCGTTAGACGGCGGCGGGGCCGTAATTGTAATTTATACTAAAATTGTAATATTGAAATAGCCGTTAATTAATACATGCATATAAATAAGATACATACACCGAATTTACATCTTAAAATTTTTGTCTGGCTATCTGTTTATATATTTTAGAAAAAAGTCATTTTATAATATAGGAAAGACCAAAAGTATTTTTGTGTAAGCATGCAGCGAGACTTCATAACTCTCTGTTTTAACTTTAAATTTTTTTTACTTTATTTATTTTATGTTTTGTTTTTTAAATAATGTTAGTTTAATTTTTTGTGAGTATTTTTTCTGGTATGTATCCATTTACTTATTTAATTTATTTTAATCTATAATATATTTAAAATTTAATCTTTTAAACTTTGTAAAAATTCTATTAGATACTGTTTATTAAATTAAAAAAAATTTGCTGAATGACGACACTTAAATTAAACATGGACCTAATTAACAAAATTTCATAGTGGCCCATAAAAAGTATTGAAACTACATAAAGCAGTGAAATGCATTTTTGCAATAGAAACTAAATCTTTCCGATCAATAACTTTATGCATATTTTATCATAAAACAACAAATTAAATAAGATACAACATAACATCATAACATGTTATCAATACCGACGCATGAAATAATTATCTTCGATTTTTCTGCCTTCTATCCAATTACGCCAAGCATTCTCTCTCTCATTCAAGCAAAAGGATATATGAGTTATCAAGAAAAAAGGTACGGTTAGTAAGGAAAATAAAAAGTTGTTACATTAGAGAGAGTGAGTTAAGTGAAGATATGTCATTTGCCTGAGGCAAGAAGTCTATCGGCGTGGTCGTAGAGAGCCTCATTTAGCACGTAGAGAACGTAGTCGACGTCGGGCTTCGTGATACACAATGGCGGAGTCATTATCAATACATTATTGTCGATACCTCCACGGCCCGTCAATATATTGCAGTTTTTCAATTGTTCCCAAATTTTGTCTACACTTGCTCTCGCCATTGGTCTCCGAGTTATCTGAGGAATACACTCAGAATTATTCAATATTTCAAAATAAATATTTTTTAAAGTGAAATACTGATAAAAATAATAAAAATAAAATAATAAACATTTTTAATAATGGTAACAGAGCCCAACGGTGGCGTTATCGGTTCGAACTAGGGAATTCAATACCGTTAAAAATTTTCAATATTGTTATTCTCTGAAAGTTTTAGCTCTTAATATTAAAGTTTAGATAGAGCGCAATTCAATCAAAGTTTTGTATGGAAATAGCATGGAAAAATTTTCAAAAATTTTAAAAATGTTTTTAGATGTAATTTAGTGAACAAATGAATAAATAAAGCTCATTCATTTGTTGCTAAGTTAAACCTAAAACATTTTTTTTAAATTTTCAAAAAAAATTCCATGCTCTTTCCATACGAAGTTTGATTGAATTGCGCTCTATCTAAACATTAATATTAAGAGCTAAAACTTTCAGAGAATTGTTTTTTATCAATTTGGAACCATTTGAGCCTCTGGGAGCAAGAAAATTCAAAAATGACCATTTTAAGGACCACCCTAATATATATATATATATATATATATATATAATTATATATATATATATATATATATAATTTAATAAATCATACAATTATTATGTGCATTATTATTATTTGTGAATTAAAGAGAATTTTAATGGTAAAAATCTTATTCTTTTCCATTTCAAGATTTTATTCATATTTCTTCAATATAGCCGAATGATGAGATGATTAAATAATAAGTGAAAATAAAATTTAAGTGATTAACTTAACCAAATTACGTTACTGAAATTATTTGAATACATTATTATAAAATATTGAATTCAATAAAATTCATAGTTTAAAATAACACAGGTCAACAAAGAAAATGGTGCAAACGATTTTAATGCTGTTTTTAAGTATATTTGGGGCGCTGATTTCAAAAATGACATTGTTTTTTTTTCTATGAGCTTTAGTTTTCAAGATATGATTTATATGATATATAAGAAATTAAAGTACAAAATAGTAATACAATTCAGAATGTTATTTTAATGAGATATGCCTACTCGTACATACAAATTACAAGACCTATTCGGCCTTAGTTGAGACATTAGTTGACACTGTGAAAAGTTCTTTTCCGTGACGACCTAGAACTTTTTTCCAAGTTCCAAACTAGAGCTGATACAAAAAAATGGTTTGCAGATTTGAAATCAGCGCAAAAAATACTATAAGAATCAGCTCTAACATTTGATGCACCAAACAAAAAAAAATTACATTCAAAATTAAAATAATTTAAGATTTGAACTTCATACAAAATTACTGTTCTTCACTCTAAAAACTTGCTTTCATTTTAGAAGATAGATATTTGTTCAAACTTAATTTTTTTATCTTGTAACATTAGTTAAGAATATTCATAAATATAAAAGAAAATTCATATAAAAAATGTATATATTTCCTAAATTTGGCAAATAATGTTTTATCAATTGCACACAAAGAGTACCTATTTTGCCAAATATTGCAATTAAATTTATCAGCATGTAATAAAATAAAAAAAATGATTTCATAGAAATCTCATTACGTACTTTATCGCCACACTTCATGCAATCGATTAGTTCAACTGCTATCATAAGTCCTCGTCCACGTACGTCGCCCATGTAAGGAAATACCTTAGACATCTTCTCAAGCTCCTTCAGAAAATATTCGCCAACCTTTTCAGCATTACATGCAAGTTTGTCGATTTCAATTATATCGAGAGTGACTTGTGCAGCAGCCATTGCAGCTATGTTGCCGCCGAAAGTTGTAGAATGATGAGCCTCAAAAATGGCTGATCCTACGGCGTCGCAAGTGTAAATTCCCGAAATCGGGAGTCCAGAGCCCATTCCTTTACCAGTAACCACTATTTCAGGCTCAATACACTCAGATGGAAAGCAGAAAAGATCGCCTGTACGCCCGAAGCCTGATAAATATTGTTATTTTAAAGACCAAACCTGTATCGTAAAACTTGACTGACGAGAAAATTTTATTATTGTATGCGATTTAGACATTTCTATACATAGCAGATTGAATAATTCAAGGCTGGATTCGTCAAATAGTTGTCATAAAACCAGAAAATAAATTTATGTATATTATAGAAGATTTTGTCTTATAGATAAAATTACATTTTTATCTAGCAGTATTGTAGTAAATTCTTAATTAGCAATCAAATAACAATATTTATGAGAGTGTGATATGCTTCAATCAAAATAAAATCGAATTGTTAAAAGTACAAAAAAGCCAAAAATCTTGCATAATGGACATAATGAAACTAACATAGAAATCTCACCTCGATAAAGTATTGCTAATTAAATAATGAAAGAGAATTTTTCACAACTTTTCTATACAGAACTAAAGAAGAATTCTCTCAGAGAATGAAAGTGCAAGTCAAAATTACAATTTTTCTCATCTTTGTATATAAACATCAATTATTAAATAATACATAAAGGTCACAAACCTAATAAAAAATAATAAACAACAAGTGCATTTTCAACTGTGCAATCGTGATAAATTTTAAATTTTTAACAATCGAAATCGTTTTATATTTATGATATATATTATATATAACTGGTAAAAAATATTAGTTCTATGCAAGTTGATATTATGCAAATAGCGTTATATAAATTGGAAATTTTTAATAGCTTTATCCAATTTGCATCAATTTTATATACGGAAGTATCAGAAATATCATATTTTCTTTTAATATTTTTTCCAGTACAATCTCACGAGTTCGCTCAGCATTGGTTTTACGGTTTCTTTTTCTTTTATCTTTTCCTCCATGATTGCACACGCTGTTGTTAATTAGAAAGCGAAGAAATTAAATCTTTAGACAGAATAATTTTATTCTAAAGACAGACGTCATTTTGAAGGAATTTAAGATACGACTCCGCGTCTAAATAATGTAAATCAATTATTCGAATTTAATTTTGAATTGTTGATGTATAAATGGCATTCGGAAAGTAAACCACAGCTTGTCGCAATGAAATGAGTCCGAAGTTGTTACATGCCATCGAGCACACATAAATACTTGGATGAATCCAAGCTACTTCTGTCCACTGTCCGTTTTAAAGTGCCCTTGACGAATGATGCGCGTCGAACAGAATCTGATCGCATGAGCTCGTAAAAAATTAACAACCGCATCATGAATTATATATTACCTAATTATACGATGTTACTAATTGTTTAATTGTTCAGTTATAAATTATCGCTCGATTGCAGTTTATATAATTAAGTATTATTAACGTTAACAATAAATTTTGAATACCTATATCGACACGACAAAGCAAAGGGAGTGGAAAACCCTCAAACGGTTCTGATTAATAGTGATATTGAATCGACGGTTATAGATCTACCGATATTAACCGATGTAAAAAATGCAGGATCTTTCAAGTAAGGTGACCATATTTTTCAAAGTCAAAACCAGGACGGCAAATTTTAGTTATACTAACCCTTTGCTAAGTAACTTAAATTTGGTTTAAGGGGGTATTCTAGTGTAGAGCGATGAATTTTAGGTCATTTTTAAAGTGTCGTCGTAAAAGAAAGCAATGAATGTTTTTACTATCCATTTTTTACCACTTGTTTATTAATATTATTGTTTATTAAAAATTATGTTTATTAAAAAATAAAAAAGTTGAAAATTGTAAAAACTGGCAGCTGATAAAGTGGGTGGTCTCAACAAATTGGCACCTTAGTCTTGACATGATTTCAGCCCTCCTAGCCATCGAAAATGCAAAAAATAAAAAGATTATTAATCTACAATGATGTCGCAATCGGCTGAACTAGCGATGAGTAAAAAAAATGTTTTTTCACAAATTGGCGACTGTTTGAAAAAAAATAGCTTTTTTTACTGTTTTTTTGAGTTTCTCGAATTTTTTAAAAATAGTAAAAATAGGAATTTTGAGATGATTCTAGTTCAGACTGTAGATAAATCTATAAACAAGACTGTCTGAAAATTTCAAATAAATTGGTCGAGTAAAACTTCAAAAATCGTGTCAACAGTACTGAAAAAGTAAGTTCTGAGAAAAACGCATTTATAGTTTTGCGTGAAGCCAAACCAGTATGGAGACCGAGTCAGTAAAATGCCTATATCTCCGAAAATAATTCAAATTTTCAAAAACCTTCTCGTACCCATATTCTTAGATAGTTAAACTTTGAAAATATGAAATAAAAAAAATCGATTTTTTTGAATTTCTACACTAGAATACCCCCTTAAAAACATATACTATTTAAGAATACATTTTTTTAAATTAATAAATTTTTTTAATCAGACATATGGGCTTTTAGTAAGAACTTTCTGTTCGATTGATGTTATATCATTTTCTATATTTTTCCATCATGTTTTTTTGCTTTTGAGCATTGTATAAAATTCTGTTCAATTTACTTCATAATGAACTTGAATAAAAAGCACTTGTTTATTCGTTTTTATTATTTTTGTTAGTTTTCGCAAAATTGAAAATAAAAGTTCGAATTTATTAATGTTGCTATTTTAACCCGTCTTCGTAATTTTGTATTAGGCATATTTCTCATTCATAACATATTTATTTATATAAGCATACACGTTGTCTTGTAATTATTATCAAGTGATTGCGAACATTCAATTTAAACCTATATTTTTAGAAAATCTGGGATAAAATATCTAAATCCGGAACAAGTTTTGCTTTAAAAAAAAAACGGGACACGTGGTGGAAATCCGGGACTGTCTCGGCCCGGGATTTATGATCACCTTACTTTTAAGTCCTTTTGAGAAATGTCTAATGATTTTAAAGGATCTATTAAGCTCTAACATATTAACTTCAATATAAAAACTTTCTAGAACATTAGAACAGTATTATTAACTTAAAGAAATCAACAGGATTCTTTTAACTAAATAAAAAAATCAAAATGGTTCAAAATATAAAAATATAAGAGCTAAATTTTAAGTTATGTATTGGTAACCCGAAATAAAAATAAAAAAATGTTTTATTAATTTGTTACTAACGTTTCGGAATTATGTCCTTTTTATCCTCGGACATGCCCTTGGCATAATAAAAAAAATAATGGGTGTACTGCCCTAGGGCAGGTCCGTAAGCTGAATTAAAACTCCAACTCGATTCAGGGAAAAATAGTGTGAGAGATTTCCCATTGCCATTTCACACCGCAGTGCCCGAGATGGGCTTATTTTCAATTGGAAACAAATTTTATCTATATTTTCAATTAAAAAAAAATGAACCCTGTCCATACAAAGTCAACGCGTTAACAACCTTCGCCACGACGAACCTTTGGCCCTTGGCGTATGTCCTAATAAATTAAATAATATGTTCTTGACAGATCTTTAGAATGAAACGTATATGGTTCCGAAACGTCGACAATAAATTAAAAAAAAAGTTTTTTATTTTTATTTCGTAGTTATATAATTTGTTCGAAGCACAACACAAAACATACAAAACCAAGACTCAACATGTATATATATATATATATATATATATATATATATATATATATATATAAATATTTAAAAAGAAAACTTGTTTCAAAGCTTTTGCAAATTAAATCTATAATTTTTATAATACGATTTTATTAAAGCCAGATATAAAGTATATGGAGATTACTCTTAAAAAAAATTTTAGCAATATTATTTTTAAATATAACGAATTTTAACTCTGGAATGACCATAGCAAAATTTAAAGAATTAAGAAAAAAATATTACAAAATATGATATTAATAGAACATATGGTTAAGTTTGAACCAAGACTATTAATAAATCTATCTCTTATCAAAATTTTCAAAATCATTATTGATATAAAGAGTTTTTGCCCTAAAATGTCAATAAAAAAGTTTTAAAGAATTTAGCATTCTAATAATAGTATTTTAAATTAAAATATATGAATAGAAATAAAGTTAAAATTTAACCAAGACGATTAATACTATCTTTTATCAAAATTTTCAGTATCAGTTTATAATTTCAAATTTCCTATTACCGACCTGTATGAGTTTCATCGACGATAACAACTCCGCCTTTGGCTCTGACCAATTCTGCAGCTTTCTTCAAGTAGCCTTTAGTATACTGCGTCACGCCGTTGGCCTGTATGGGTTCAATGAGCAGGGCTGCAATACCTTTCGCCGCCATGGAATGTCGAAATAATTCCTCCAGCTGATTGTAATAATAGTCTGTTGCTTTGCATTTGTTTTCTGGACACTTGCACTTTCTGTGTTTTACCTAAAAAAACAAAGAGATGATATGAAATCAACTCTTTTAATTAGATAAATAATGCAAATAAAATAGGAGAAAATTTTGCCTAAATGTAATGAACATAAACTCTGCCCTACTGAATTTACTTTATATTTTAATTAAATATTTTCATTTTATCAACTTCAGCTTATTATATTTTTCATGCAAATCACACGCAATTATTGTGTTTTGCAACTGCATAACAGAAATTCCTAAAGATCATTTCTTTATTTTTATATGATAAAAAATAAATGAAATTACTACACGATCAGTCAAGATACGAATAGCAAGAAAATTGCGAAGACATAAGTCACACACCGTTGTTTATTATTTTTGCTCGGTATGTTGACTGTATATAAAAAGAATGTATATAAACAATATATCGAATGTCTATGACTTGATTAATGTAAAATTTATTCTTGCATTGATACAAATTACCTCAACACCAGCAAGTTTAACCATTTTTACCATGCATGTGAATGAACAGACATGCATTTGGTTTATGATACAAATTTTGGAAGATTTTTGTCAAAGCATTTTATACGATTAATTTTTTAACAATTAAGCAGGTTTACAGTAAACGATGGTTTTATGTTGTGAAATTGAAATGTGTTTTTGGCGATATCTTGTTAAAAGTAAACATTAACTTATTGTACCTAAATGACAAAAAATGGTTGCTTGCCTTCAGTTAATGACTTCTGTATGTTTGCGTTTTACATATTGATGTTGAAGTGCTTAAATGAATATGAATCAATAATTTTGCCGTTTGCTGTGAAACGTTTATATCACAATAATATTAAAAACCAGTGAGGCTAGTAAAATTTCGAAAATTGGTATCCGCACACACACACACACATACATCCATTTTTTCTAAGGTAGGACAAAACATTCAGAAACCTTTGAAACATAAAAATATATAAAAAATTTCATTTTCGATTCTTTTGCGATTACTATAACTTGCCCTACGGGAAGTTAAAAATTTAGATACCTGTTACCAAATTTTTATTAGTAATAAAATAAGAAAAACACAGAAGTCAACTTTTCATCTACGTATGAAAATGAAGAAAATCCTTCATTATATATGTAATTTATTGTTGAGACTGCTTTTATCGAGATTGAGCTATATTTATTTTGTGAACTAATAATAGTATCAAAAGAGTAATTATAATTTTTAATACATTAAGTAATTACTTACTTGGCTTAGGGAATTTCGACATTTTTCTCCGCCCCATAAACCTCTATAAGGGTCTGGCACCATCGAATGCAAAACGGCTTGGGACTCCGGCTCAATATATTTGTAGTATTTGTTCGACGTCAAACCACTAGTTGTGTAAGATACTCCGTGGTAACTGTTATGAAGTACTATCACATCTTTGTTACCTGTATGAAGACGAGCCAACAACAATGCTACCTGCGAATTAACGAGTTAGATTCAATTGACTTGAGTTTAAACATATATAAGAAACAAGTTAGAAACATCAGAAAGTTGCACTTATGTTGAAATTGTTAATCGACATGTCTTTTGGAGGTTAAATTTTATGCATAGAACGCTTGATCTACCAACTCATTCGATTATAGACCAGTAACACAGCATTACTATAACATTTCGATTTTATCAGAGCATTACCCCTATATCTACTTTTCTAACCTATCTTCCATACAGCACTGTATTTGGTACTATACTTTAATTAAGTGAAAATTTGTTACCACTACTGCTTGATATGAAGGTGGCCCAAGTGGGTATCGAACCCGGAACCAGTGGTTGTTAGACCAGGTTCTTACCACGAACCCATAGCAATAAGCTCTCAAATAATATGGACATGATTAAAATTATTGCAAATTATGATAAAAAATGCTGAGGCTGAAATTTTATATTCTTCCACAATATACGTATCTCATTATTTCCGGATGCTTCGTCAGATATGTATGTATGACATGTAATTCATATTGCGGAACAATTACTTCAATATAGAATGATACATGTGTTCGTAAGTGAAAATTGAACGTGTACATACGGGTTATTTCAACTTTAGTTCATTACTTTTGCAATATTTCCTTTGCATATAGGCAAATGTGACTAATATTGGCACGGTATATAAATGGTACATGAGCAGACAAATCATATATGAGAAGTAGAAATGATTTGTAAAAATATAGCGCAATTATTTCTAATAATTTTAAAAACGTCCGTAAAATATACGGTTACTCACACGGTGAATTGTGCAAACACCGTGGCTTACTGAATTAAATATTCCGAAATATTATATAAACATACCTATATAATGTATTTGCACATATTGTTAAAAATATATTTAAAAGATATTCTTCTTTCTCTCTTTCTTATTTCAAATTTATTGAAATTATTTCTAGTTAGGAACATTTTGAATCTTAATGAATTTTTTAAATCGAATTTTTCACTTGTGCCGATATAATTTCCTAATATCTTTATCTCCTACTGAACCATTAAAATTAAAAAAAAAACATTAACAAAAATACTATATTATAAATATTTATTATAATTTATCATACTGGTTAAAGTAAGAAAATTAAATAAAAAGAATGTATTTAATTTACATATTTTAAATTTTACCTCAATAGATTCGCTCGATGTCGTGTTGAAATAAAACTTTGTAAAAGTCTTGCCAAGCCTCTTCAACATCTTTTCTCCGTAAGTGTGATAATGTTCGTGCAAGTACATACTGTTTGTATGATGAATGGTAGAGATGTTTTCATACATACATTTTATAAATTTAGGATTTGAATGCCCGATGTTCATAGTCGAAATGCCTGCATAGAGGTCTAGATATCGTTTACCTGCAGGAAGAAATAATAATCCAATTTTCAAAAACTACAATAGATTTTAATTTAGAAATGTTACAAGTTACATGGTTCCAAGAACTTCAATAAGACGTTAAGATATGCATTATTGTCTATATTGTATTGTAAAGTGTCTGTAGATGATAGTTTATTGGTTCACTTACAAAAGTATACTACTTTATTTGATAAAGTTTCCATTGGCAATTAAATAAATAATCCTCATACATTGATATAATACGCGGACGTCAAATCATTGGATTGGCATTCGATTTAGCTATTTCATAAGCACTAACAAAAATTTACTCATGATCCTTGATGTTATAGACGCAGATAATATAAACAAAAATTATACCATACAATCACCGAATAAATTGGCAAAACAATTTTCTTTTTTAAATGTTGCACACTATATATACTGAACTATATTTGCATATTGAAAACATCAATTTTCAATTCAGATCAGATTTTTTTTTTAACTCTTCACTCTATATATTGGTGTATTATGATGAAAATACATATTTTTTTAATATTTTTGTAATCATTAGAGTTTGTTAATAATTATTAAAATAGAAAATGTATATGTCAACGACTCTTATTAAAGTTCAATGGTGTTTGCTTCTATGCGACTTGGCCGTCCCATTGTTTGCTCTATGCGACGCGCTTGGAGTTAATGTATTGCTTTGCATTTTCTTTTATCTTACTCAAGAAATAATTCAACATTGACCTCAAATAATACAAGATAACTTTATTTTTACATTAATTTTTTTTAGTGAGTTTTAATCATTAATAGAATATGAAATGTATATGTAACATATAGCCAATAATTTTTATGTTCGTTTGTAAGCCGATGCTATTCAATAATTAGCAGAATTGATTGGTTAATGTTATGAACAAATTGTTATTTAAACACCAAAAATAAATAATGCAATGAATAAAAGAGCTGGGAACTTAATGCAACAGTGATAAGTAGTAATCACACCTGGGGTTAGTTGAAACAAAACATTGGGTGAAATATAGGTTATAAAACATGTTACAGGAGTCACCATATATTTTATTTGTATTAATTGTAGTTCACGTTGATTTATGATAAGAATTTCATTTACATGTGACACTCTATATTTATATTAATTATAATTGATTTATGAACAAAAAACTCAGAATCAGGTGAATTTTCTTAAAAAAAATATCAGAGGTATTATTTTCGTTTTTTTTGCGTTACTACTTGCTTAGGTATATGATACAACTAGCCCCAAATACGAAGTAACATCGGACTTTTTTAGAAAATTATTAATTGTGAAATAATAAACATTAGTATTGAAAATATTTTTACTTGACTTGATAAAGGAATGGTTGCAGAACCTAACTATCTTTATAATGAGTGGATCTCGAGATATATTAAATGAGAAAAACTATTACATCAAGCCCCAAGCTGCCCTAAATTAGGAATATGTCGAAGTTAAATATATAATAAAATTGCTGAATAAAATTGAAAACTCCATATGGTTGATATTAAAAACAAAATCAAATTGAAGAACTCTAATAGTTTCTGATTTATGTATTATTTTAGAATTGTTTTATATAAATAGCTATTTAGAAAGTACAGCCAAGATTCCATTTCATGATTTAGTTATTTTTCAGTTGAATTGATTGTTTGTTATAGTGTTTGAGTAATGAAAAATGACAAAGCATTTAAAAAAAAAACTTTTTCATTAATTGTTTGAAAATTTTAATTATCTATATATCTTTAATCTTAATTAGCCTACCTCAACTATATCACACATAAACTAGATTCTAGAAAAATATGTATTTTAAACTGTGTTATCGGCGCAATTACATTAAATCGTTACAACTGATGGTATTATTCAGTTTTACTCTTCTCTAGACTTTTACAGCTTTCAATTCTCGATCTTCGTATTTAATCGCTTGGAAAATAAAAACCAACGACTCAAACGAGCTTATTCATAGTATATAACACGGTGTGCATTTAATTTGTTTTCTTTGTGGCGGCGGAAAAGAAATTGTGAAAGTATTGATTTTTTGTACTTACCTTTATAATCGAATAAATATTGCATAAAACCCTGATGCAAAAGTACAGGTTCTTTGTAAAGCAATGGTAAAGGTACTACTTTGCTCGATCTTATTTTCTTCACGGCGTCCAAATCAGGACCCTAGATATAATGACAATGAAACATAAAATTTCTGATTAATTTTGTGATATTAAAAATGAATATTTATCTCAGAAAATGTATAAATGTATATATAGAATATTGTGTTTCACTTCATTGAACAACCAATTCTAATTTTATTGAAATATGTGTTTTATATAACGAATGCCATTTTAAATTATAAAGCAATATTTAAAATGGGACAATCTATACATTAAATTTCACTTTCTAATATTAATTTAGACAATCTGTCTTCTGAATAGAGTCATTAAATGATAGATTTAACAAGTCTCGCTTTATGGAACTAATAAATTTTGTATAACGAACAACATTTTCACTTTTCCAAAATTAGAGTAATCAAATCGCTCGTCACGGCCATAAATGATTTGTTATTTCCGTAGAAATAGAATTTAAACTTCGTATTCTATAATGATGCCAAAGATTACAATGAACGTAAACTTTGAAAGTCGATCGTTTAGCATGAGATTATGGTAGTCCGACCTGAAATTGTTAATTCGAAATCTGTAAATGACTCGTAAATGTATTGACTCATTCTGTATAAACGATATTAGAAAATGTTGTACCAAACAGCGTTCTAGTATATTTCTTCGTGCCTGACCGTAAATATTCTGATTGTTTTACATGCAACGTTTTAGAATTATATACGGAATCTATTAAAGAAAAATCACATTTCATACAATATTGATTAAATATTACCCCATATTTTCGAGGGTTTACATCACAATGTGGTAATGAGGTTTGTCTATATTTCTGCTCCTTTTTATCTTTTTTCTCAGTTTTCGTTTTAGGACTTTTTTCATCTTTTGTGCCATAGCTCCGAACAAAGCACTATTAATTAAAATTAGTTAATAAAATTACTTATAATTTTATACATAACTTTTCGCATTATTCATAATGACAGTCTTATAAGATATTTATTTCGTAAACTATTGAGCTAACATTTTCTTACCCCAAAGCGACCACTACGTGTGATAAAACTTGAATTCTTCATCCATTTGAATAACATATTACAAAAACCTCAAATATCATTGATAATGCAATATAACTCAAAAGTATTTGTTTCGTAGTGTTTTATTTGAACTTATATCAAAGGCTATATTGATTTTGCAAGCAAATCAATTTTCCAATCTTTTTCAAAAACGTAATCAATATTCTCATAAAGTTAATAATTTCCGCTAATTATTTCAAGCGAGATATTTCATAATCGTTGGCAGATATAGACGTAACAGACAATTATGTCTAAAAAGCATTCCGCATTTTGTTTGTTTTTTGTCATCTGTCAGTGGAAACGCTTACAAAACTTGTTTAGACATTTTACTACAATATTCGTGATGGAATGACGCGTATGTACGCCGATACGGGATCAAATATTAATTGAATAATTTGAATCATTGCCATTGTGGTATTACCTAACACCTATTACATGCACATTATATTGCGAAGATCCAAGAGAGAGAGTGATCTTCTCATTCTCGGGGGCAATTCGTGACATATAAAGGTCATAGTATTCCCATAATAGCAAAAGTACATAATACATCGTCAAAACACACTGAAACACATATAAGTAATTTATGTCAGATACTTATTGATATCTTGAATCAATATTTTTACCTTGGTCATTTAATCGTCATTTAATATTAAAAGAATTAAGAACAAAATTTGCAAACCTTGCAAACATTTTTTAGCAAACTCGAAAACTGTATCCAAAAGGTATGTGGATAATTTATTTATTGAAATATGTCCCGTCGACACATGTTTGACTTAAAATATTTACCCAAAAACTAACACGTTACGTTCTTAAATTTTTCATATTTGTGCGATTGAATGTATCTTTATGTGACACATTTCTCAAATCATTTCTAAATCACACAGATCAATAGAGATATGTTGCATAATTACAAATAAAAATGGGAGTTTGATTTTGATGATTCTATAGTCTATCATATGCTACATTTCACTTTCAAATAACAATATAGTGTAAGTACGTCCATAAAATGATGCTCTACTATCAACAAACGAATGTGAATATTGATTTATAAGTAATTATTATTGAGAGAGCATTAATCTGGTCTAGAGGCATGAGTTTTAAGCGAATTTCGAAAGGTTGTAAAAAAGGAAAGCAATATTTTTACTATATTTTTACACGTTTTTAGTGTTTTGAAAATTCAAGAAAAAATAAAAATAAAACGGCGATGAACTGGGTGGTCTAAAAAAATTGGCAACTAACCATTCCCATGATTTCAATCCTCCAAATAATCCGAAGAAAAAAAAACATATTGATCTTGAATAATGTCACAATCGCTTAAGCTACGTACAAGTTAAAAAATTTTTTTTTCACAAAATAGCTACATTCTAGAATTTATATTTTTAACTTCATCTCTATATTTTAAAAATAACTAGTGGGGTGGGTGGCATCGTGCCTTAAAGCAAATTGCTGGAACTTCCCGTACCGTAACGAAATGTTCGAGGAATACTGAATGTTTTCAAATAGATTATTATAAATATTGTAACATTGTCTAATATTTATAAGAATTATATAAACTGAATTGCAGAGTTGAAATTATTTGTTTAAAGTATATTAGAACTGATTAGAACTATAGTCAGAATTAAAAATAAAATCTGAATTATTTTCGATATACAAAAATTAAAAAAAATGAGACTTTTTTTTTCCAAAATCAATTATTTTGGTAAGACAAGCAGAAAGTTGTTTGAATCAATTGAATCGGACGCTTAGTTCTCTCAAAAACTGCCATTTTTTGTACATTTAGCTCCGTATATTCGAAATGGCTGGGCTTGCCTTTGCGAAAAACTAATAACCATTTCTCCCAATCATTACTAATTGAATGTTTTTTAGATCATTCAAATCGGATGCTCCGTTCTCTCAAAAACTCGATTTCTATTTTCTGCACTCTTTGCTCTTTATCTCCGTAACTGCTGGACGTGCATTTGCCAAAAACTAATCAGCACATCTCCTTATCAATCGAATCGAATCGTTGATCCGTACGCCCGAAAACGTGGGCGAAAATGTTCAAAAACCTTCAAAACGTCGAGAAATGTAAAAATTTTCAATTCCGATTTTCGGCCCATTACAATAACTTACCCTACGGAAGTTAAAAAATCGGAATTTTGGGATGAGTGTAGTTCATATTGTAGAGTAAAGTATAAAAAGACTCAAAATATTTCAAGTAAATGGTGTAGTAGAAGTTGAGAAATCGTTGGTATCGTATCGAAAACTAACGCTTCAAAAAGAATGCGTTTAAAGTCTCGCAGAAAGAGGAGGATTAACGAGATTAAACAGCTATATCTTCGAAAATAATTAAAAATTTTAAAAACCCTCTTACATATTCTTATATTTTACAATATGCGAAAAAATAAAATTGATTTTTTAAAACTTCTAGACCAAAATATCCCCTTCATCCAATAAATTTTGCAATAATTACAATACTTTCAGAATATATGTATATTAATTAAATACAGCTGTAATATAAAAATGCAAAAATAAAAGTCCGAATCATTATACAGCATTCTTAAGATTTAGAATGTTGTAATGGTCCTAAACTCTATGATAAAACTTAAATAAATCTGCATAATGATATCATATATCTTTATTAACAGTAGCGAGCAAAGCAGTTCACCTCCGAACGGCCTACCTTATGGACTTCTGCAAGACATCCGACTGTCCGCGAACGCCCGCCGGCCCAGTGAGCGACCGACGCAGACGTACGAGGCGGACCGATACTACACGTTCCACTTGAACGAATCGCATATTGACGACGAAGACGCAAATTCCACACAGGCCGTTTTGCTAGAGGAGGCCGAGGAATGTTTCGCCGGTTTGAAGACGACGACGGAGACTGCAACGATAAAGAGCGCACGAGGCACCGTCCGCGGCGTGAAGAATCGCGTTCGAGCCGGTATCGCCACGTTCTTGATGGCGAGCGCGGGAGCCGGTCAAGCTAACGGACGCTTGGACACATCCAAAGATGCAGGACGCGTTGTACTCTATTGTACTAGTATGGGAATTATACGACACACGTACCAGCAATGCTCGATGGTGCGCCAGGTTAGTCAATTATATTAATTAACTTCCCGTAGGGCAAGTTATAGTAATCGCAAAAAAATCGAAAATGAAAATTTTTATATATCTTTACGTTTCAGAGGTTTCTGAATATTTTGGAATACCTTAGAAAAAATGGATGTATGTGTGTGTGTGTGTGTGTGTGTGTGTGGTATGTGTGTGTGTATGTATGTACGTGTGTGTATGTAGGGTGCGGATACAAATTTTCGTCGACGATTTCGGGAACACGGATCAACCGATTTGAATAATTCAAAAAACATTCGATTCGTATTGATAAGGAGACGTGCTGATTAGTTTTTGGCGAAGGCAGGTCTAGCCGTTCCGAAGATACGGGGCAAAAAGTGCCGAAAACGGTAACTCAGTTTTTAAGAGAACGGAGCGTCCGATTTAAATAATTCAAGAAACATTTTACTTGTATTGACAAGATGAAGAATCGATAAAATTTTCATAAAGGTAGGTCTAGCGGTTTCGGAGATATGGAGGAAAAAGTAAAAAAAAAATAGCCATTTGGCGGTCAAAAATGATCATTAGACATATGCACATCAAATTATCAGATATTTTTTAGAGATTTTAACAATAAGTATACATTTTGTTAAGATTCCCATGGGTTCCGTACCAATGCTTATGCGTTAGACAGCGACGCGGCGCTTACGCGCTTTATATTTTGTCCCTATGCAGTTAAATCAGTACGATTGCTTTGAAAAAAAAGTTCAGATCTTCCACAATATGTCAAAATAAAGAAAAAAAAATTTTTTTTCAAAAAAAAAAAATTAAAAAAAATTTTTTTTTTTTAATTTTTTTTTTTTCAAAAAAATTAATTTTTTGTCCATATATATAGTTTCTCAAAAATCTTATTTTTTCAAAGTACATTTTTTTTCAAAAATGTTAATCGTTTTTAAAAAATTAATAATTTTTGGTACAGAAAGTTTCAGCAATTTGCCTTAAGGCACGATGCCTTAATTGCCTTAAGACAGAATTCCACTTACAGCTAGTTGTAACTATAGTTGATTTTTGATATGCGACTGCCTGCATTCATACACAAAGTTTATCTAATTCTATAGGTACACTCGAAAATACAATGTACGACGATTAAGGGAATTCAATCATATTTTCTTTCTTTCTAGGTCATTTTTAAAGTGTCGTAAAAGAAAGCAATGAATATTTTTACTAGCCATTTTTTACCACTTGTTTATTAATATTATTAAAATACAAAACAAAAATAAAAAATAAAAAAAATTGCAAATTGTAAAAACTGACAGCTGATGAAGTGGGTGGTCTCAAAAAATTGGCACCTCAGTCGTGCCATGATTTCAGCCCTCCTAGCCATCCAAAATAAAAGAAATAAAAAGATCGCAATCGCCGAACTAGCGATGAGTAAAAAAAAGCTTTTTTACAAATTGGCGACTGTTTGAAAAAAAAGTTTTTTTACTGTTTTTTTGAGTTTCTCGAATTTTTTTAAAATCAGTAAAAATTGGAATTTGGGGTAATCCCAGTTCGGGCTATAGATAGATCTATAAACAAGACTCTCTGAACATTTCAAGTGAATCGGTGGAGTAGAACTTTTTGCGTGAAGCCAAACCAGTATGGAGACCGAGTCCGTAAAATGCCTATATCTCCGAAAATAATTCAATTTTTCAAAAACCTTCTCGTACCCATATTCTTAGATAGTTAACCTTTAAAAATATAAATAAAAAATCGATTTTTTTGAACTAGAAATACCCTCTTAGAGGGTCTCGAGGCACGAATTTCTTAACAGACCGTAAAATAGGCCATCAATATTGTATTATACTTTTTGTTACAAATTATTGATCAATGTTTTGAGAATATAAAAAAATAAAAATAAAAATAGTCACACAGTTTTATTTTCAGAAGTTGATGAAGTCGAGGGTCTCGCAAAATTGGCACCCTTTTTTCAGATTTTCGAATTTTTTAAATTTTGGAGATGAGCGTAGTTCACACTGACGAGAATTCTATAAAGAAGACTAAAAATTTCAAGTAAATCAGTCGAGTAGAAGTTTAGAAATTGTGGGTATCATATCGAAAAAGCCAGTTTCGAGAAAAACGTATTTAAGTTTCGCGAAGATTTCTTGTTTAAACAGAAGAAGAAGATTATCTTGTTTAAACAGCTACATTTCCAAAAATAATTTGAATTATGAAAAATTCTCTTATACCATATTTTTAAAAAATATTGATAAAAACAAAATCGATTTTAAAAAAAACATTGATACGAGAGTTGATAGTCTCGTAAAATTGGCACCTTTTTTTCATATTCTCGAATTTTTTAAAAATAGTAAAAATTTGGAGATGAGCGTAGTTCACACTGACAAGAATTCTATAAAGAAGACTAAAAATTTCAAGTAAATCAGTCGGGTAAAAGTTTAGAAATGGTGGGTATCATTATATTAAAAAAGACAGTTTCGAGAAAAAACGTGTTTAAGTTTCGCGAAGGATTAAAACAGAAGAAGATTATCTTGTTCAAACAGCTACATTTCCAAAAATAATTTGAATTATGAAAAATTCTCTTATACACATATTTTTGAAATATTGATAAAACCAAAATCGATTTTATAAAAAACCGAGACCAGAATACCCTCTTGAGTTTAATATCGACTAAATTGAAACGAATGGATATCCGCATTTTACTTAATTAAAATTTCATTGTGGCCATTGCTATGAATCTGAGAAATCCAGCTGTGTGTAATAATGTCTTGTGTAATCTGTGTAACTTATAGAATTTTTTAAAGCGACTAAAATTATCAAACAATTGAATTACTTAACGCAATAACTATAAATTATCACTATTTCCTTGATTTTTATTCAATTTGATCGTTTGATTTTGCCTAGGTCCAATATTCCTATTAGTGGAATTTCTTAACAACAACTGTATTAACTAGATCTTATAAACCAAATGAATGATTAAATGTAAACTATTATTTCTTTAATACTATAATTCAACTTTACAGTCGTAATCTTATTTCTTATATAGAATCTTCTCAATATATAGTTTCAGTATTTTTTATACCTGTATCGGAAAGTTTTACATATTTGGTTTACATAAGATATAATGGCATATTGATATATAGTTTCTATTGCCCATATAAATTTTGGTGATATTTACATACAGATTAACGTGTTATGCATGAAACATGATGTCTGTTCCGGATTTTTTAGTTATTCATAATTTTTTTGATTAAACATATCGCACACCTAGGTCATAACAAAATTGATTAGCATATTATTCATACAGAATTTTCATAATAAATTGTGCAATAGAATAGAATAGAATTAAACGAATAAAATTTTGCATTTTTAGTTAGAAAAATGTTATATATGCTTTTTACTTTGAATTATATCATTATTACTCATAATTCTTGTTAGTATGATGTGTTTGTTACCAAAATGAGTAGTATCCTCAAATGAAAAGTATGTTAGTATTTGGTTAAAGTCCATTTTGAAAAACATTGCAAAAATTGTTTGATAAAGAAGTACATGTAATATATGTTGAGAAATCTGCACTTAATGTAGTATAACGAAGTAAGTAAAAGAATTAAGGCCGCGGCTGCCGTTAATGCTATCGTTGTCGCCCAATTTAACATTGTGTACCGTTGCTTAAAATCCATAAAACATTTCCGCACATAATTTGCTTTAAGTTTATCCTAATTTCACAAATTCTTTAAATATTTAAAAAAAATTGTTGACATCTTTATCAGTAATTATGTATATATTACCCGACATTCACCTTTTAATAATAATTTATTTTGCATTATTATTAGATGTGGACTATTTTCTTAAACGTAGTTAAGAGTTAGTATTAGTATTATGAATGCACGTAGTATAAATTCATTTAATATTTTCTTAAATAATTTAGGTATTAGTCATATTTACGAGAAAAACACATCGCTCATATGCTAAAAAGAAATTTGCCTTCAAATATTATTACAAGGCGTGCGACTATATAACCAACTCATTAACAATCATAATTTTCGATGCATGACACGTTTACTTCAATATCAGTGCGTTAATATTAAAGAAGGGAACTGCAGATTTATTATAACTGAAATTAAAATTGTCATTTCCTGATGTTCTTTAGTGTCATCTAACATGGATTACGAAATTTTATTCGAAGTCTTACAGCATCTAACAAAAATATTAATTAAACTACATAACGTATATATAACAAATAACTTTCAATTTTGCACGACTTTTATTGGTAAATACTTGCATTTAATTAAAAATATAACATATATATATATATATATATATATATATTTATATGCACTTGCAGTTAAATGTTTCAGCTTCAACGCATAAACCATAAAAAATAGCCGAGTCGTTATTTAGACGTAATCTTTAAATTAAAAAAAATTACATAATAATTGTTCGTTTCATGTTCGTTTATACAGCTTTCTATACAATGAAAAAAAACAATTTAAATATTAAAATAGAGATTATCGTGGCTTCATGGTAAAGACTTGGCCTTGCAACCACTAGATATAAAAAATAATTTGAATTTTTATATGAAATTTTCAGTGCATTGCTGCAGTGTACATTTCATCACATTTGGCAGGGAAAAAAAATCACCATCAGAAAAATGATCAACCACTGGGTTGCCTTCTAATAACACAACGTTAAAAAATTGCACCTCATCTCAGAACTGATTGCTATTTTTGCTATATATTCCAATTTGCTAGAAACTTTTTATTTTAACAAGTATCAAAATTAAATTATTGCTGTGTTCTTTTATGATTGCACATAACAATTTTTATGATGATATTGTTAACTTTTTTAAGTATATTTTAATTTCGGACTATTAAACCAGAGTGAATCATTAGTAAAAGGGTTCTTAATTTATCACAACGACAAATACATACCGGATAATGATATTGCGATTCAGTAATTTTGATAAAGTCGCTTTAAAAATTTTGATAAGTTTAGTTTTTACTTCCGTAAGCAGAACACACAAAAAGTTATTACATGCTGCTGGATTTTCCAGGTTTAATCAAGAATCATGACATAAAACCTAAAAATTAATTATTTCATGTAGTCACAAAAAATTATAATTTTAGAAATAATAAATACATCTATGCGCCTTCATGGTAATTCAATAATGAATTTAGTAGAGATCATGTAACTTAGCGATAAATATTTTACACCTGAACGCTTTACAAGAATGTAAAATATTTTTAATTAAAAACGATAGAAATGAATGCTAATAAATACAGTACACACAATTATATCTATGTATAATATATGAATATTAATATTTATAATTCTATCTTCACGGTTATACATGTTCTCTTAAAATGAGTATTAACGTTGGCATTCAATTAAGTTTTCAGATTCTCGATGACCTAGTCCAACTCAATAAATATGCTTTTGTATTCATTTATAATGTACAAAACATTTGCTAGTACTTATTTTTTATGTATTCTGTAATTTAAACGATATACATCTTTGCATGTGTGAATGTAACATAAAAACTGTAAATATTGAATACTGCATGACGTGCTATATGATTTAAGGTGTAATTTCTAACGGTTTATTTGTTTAGTGTGTACAAAATTAGTATATGAAAGTCTGTGAAATGTAGATCAAGTTCTTTATACATTTTTTATAGTTTGAGTATTTTATTGTCACTTAAACACGAGAATACAATCCGAGTCCAAGAGAGGAGTAATTTTTAAATCGCTATGCTAAATTATAGATATTATTTTCGTTTTTATAATTCTCTTCCTGGTGGAAGTATTTATATTCGAATATTATAAATTTTAAAATTATAGCCTGTTGTCATATGTACCACGAGAATTTTGTTGCGATTATAATTATTAATATTTGCAAGATTTCTAAATAATTAAATGTAATAAGGAATATAAAATATTTAGATTTTGCAAAAGTTCTTATTCTTAGCTGATGCGTGAAAAACAATCCACAAGGATTGAAATTGAAGCTAAGATGCAGTATTTTTTATGAGATATAGACAATGTAAATTTTTTATGTATTTTTGTTTATTCGTTATCTTTGTCATTCATTATTTTATATTACAACCCATGTTTAATGAAGACTACTATAAATTACACAGGCCAACAAAGAAAATGATGCAAACGATTTTAATGCTGTTCTTAAGTATATTTGGGGCGCTGATTTCAAAAATGACATTGGTTTTTTTCTATGAGCTTTAGTTTTCAAGATATGATATATAAGGAACGAAAGTACAAAATAGTAATACAATTTAGAATTTTATTTTAATGCGATATGCCTACTCGTACATACAAACTTACAAGACCCATTCGGCCTTAGTTGATACTGTGAAAAGTTCTTTTCCGTGACGAGCTAGAATGGACCTAGTTTCGGCAACTTTTTTCCAAGTTCCAGACTAGAGCTGATACAAAAAAATGGTCTGCAGATTTGAAGTCAGCGCAAAAAATACTATAAGAGTCAGCTCTAACATTTGATGCACCAAACAAAAAAAAAATTTTTTGTAGGCCTGTGTTATATGTACATGCTCTTCGTTTTCTTAAACAAATTGCGAAATTAATTAATTACAATTGAGAATTAAAAAAAATCGAAATAGGTACCATGAATTGAACCTGAATGATTTGAAGAACTGAACATATTAAAAAAATCGTAGAAAAACTCATAACCGTCAAAGATCCCTTAAGTAAGTTATTGAAAGTGAGTAATATAAATTGAAATATAGTATTATGGAAAGCTCTTATTGTTAGGGTTTGTGATACAAAAAATAGACTAAATATAATTTAATCATTTATATAATCGATCAACTGAGTAAAAAAATGTATAAGGGCCATAAGCAAAAAAATGTAACATCTAACAACATAATATGTAGAGGAGATAGAGGTTTAGTGCAAAAGGGGTAAAGTAATAAGAGGCCTTTTTCAATAATATCTTAAACGATATTATTTTTTTGGATAATTTTTTCTAAAAAATTATTAATTGTGAATTAATGAACGATAGTTATAGAAATATTTTTACTTGATAAGGTAGAGGAATATTTACAGCATGTGTTCGTCTTCATTTCGTAAAAATATATCCAGTGGATCTCATGATATCTTTGTTAGTTTAAAAAAAAATCTGTTACAACAAGCTCATAGCTCGCCTACTGTAGCACCATTCACAGAATGACGCCACGCTTTACTTTATACATTTCTGAGCATTTTTATGGATTTCAAAATATTAATTAAATTGTAATTTGTTAGATTTTGCGGACTTTATTGGTGAAATACGAAGAGCGAGACCTATTCATGGCATCGCACCATCGAGAACAGCTGCAACATCGATTGGGGACGTCAAGCATCGAGTTGCCGCAACTCTTTGTCGATGGACAACATATAGGTTGGTTGAATAATGGATTTTGTTAAATACAATATATAATGTATTGGTTATTAAAGAGTGATTATTGTTTAAATACAGTTAACCAATAGACGAACAATATAAGAAGGCAATCAACTTTTGATGTGAGGAGAAAGAAACAGTAGTTATATTGAGCCCTAGTGATCGATGCTATAACTTTTTCCCCCATAAAGTGATAATTTTGTCTATTTTTTGTCACAACATTAATATGTAATAAATTTTATATCCCCTTCTTGATGCCGCATTATTTTCTGTACTTCATAATAATTTATAAGCAAATATTAAAATATTTACAATTGCTGGCACTCCATTATAAATCGCATATCACTTTTATAGTTATCGGGTAAAACCCGATTAGTCATTATATTATTAGTTACTTATTTTATTTTTTCGTGTGAATTTTTACGTATACGTCTAAAAATATTTTGTGCGCAGACATTTGCGTAACTTATTAGCGTTTTTTATATAACACTTCGAGCGCAAGTTTATTTTTAGATGTAATATTGTCTTTCTCCGCCATTAAAATGAATTATATGAAGTGCATTAACTATTGGTGTTGCAATTTCAGTTTCAACAAGCTTTCACCACTTTCGATGAAAGTGCTAATTTTTGTTGTTGTTTATAATAAATATATCAACTGTAATATTTGAGATTTAAATTTAACGCCTCAGTCGATCCTTAGTTCAAACTGATTAATCAATAATAATAACTAATTTAATGTTTATGTGCAAATTTCCAAAATGCTAAATCATGCCAAAAATATTACAAAAAAATAGATAAGTAAGGTATATAAAAATAAAACGCATTCATATGTCGCACACATGTCAAAAGTGTATGTGCTAAAATATCATCTCAATTATAATTTAACATTAAGTATAAAGGTTTAATGAAATAATAATTATATCCCTTTATTTTTTCAAAAACTATATGGATCTACTAATCTGTGAAAGTAAGTTTATTAAACTTTCCAAACTATAATTCAGAGTAAGGGGGCGTCCATTAAAAACGTGAGCGAGTTGTTAAGGATTTTTGGACCCCCCACTTGGTGATATTCAAAATTGCCCCTCCTCCCCCACCAAACATTACGTGTATTTTTAGTTACGAGAAAATATTGTAAAATTTTTTTTTTTTTTTTGAAAATGTTTGAACTTTTTTTAAAAAAAATAGTTAAAAAATAAATACACGTGATATATTACTATACTCTTCACTCCCCCACGTGATATTTCGTGATTTTTAGTCAAGCCCCCCCTCCTCTTAAAAAGCTCACATGATTAATGGACGCCCCCTAAGTGAGATTTAATAATTTCCCAGCTTTTTATTCTCACATTTTATAGTGTAATTTACGTAAAACTAGTTCAATTAGTTTTTTAGTTGAAGTGCATTTTAGATATACATTAAAAATATTATACGCTATTACATTTACTATAGTTCTAAATTTGAACATTATATATTGAAAAATTAATTATTAACGTAATTATGATTTTGCCTTATATAACACCACAAACCACATTGATAAATAACATATATACAGTAAAATTATTTAAGTATTTTTACGCTTAATAAAATTTACAAAAAAGCTTACATGTGAATAATAAAATAAAATTTAATTTCTATAATTAAATTTGTTTAGGCGGTAAAACCTTTACCTCAAAAGAGGAGATCAAAAAGCACTTTGATCAGTTTTTTCTCAATAACGACTAAAAAATTTATGACCACGGAATTATGCTACTACCAGAAATATGACAAAAAATGTTTAATTAAAAATTTAATAAATCAATATTTAATAAATTATTTGTTTATTATACGAAAATGCTTTACTAAAATGTCTATAAAACACGAAGTTCCTTTCCGAAGAACCCAATATTAATTCATGGCAGATCAATATCATCTAATTGTATTCAAGGGCTAAATGACCCCCAGGTCAAAAGCCTATATGAAATATATATATATATATATATATATATATCATCTATAAAAGTGTGAAGAATTAACAAAATTGAATGGATATTTCATTTTAAATTAATAATTTTTTAAAATTTGCCTACGTTTACATCTGTCTCGAGACCCTACCCAGAGATACTATCACATATAGTTTATATAAATTGAAGTACTTTTATAGTATACAATATTTATTATTTTTTAATACATCTAATTCTCATTTATCATTTAACCAGGAGGAGCAGAAGCAGTGGAACGTCTGAACGAGTCTGGTGAACTGAGGCGCCTGCTGAGGCCATACCGTTGTTCACCAGAAGCGCTGACGCCTTGTCGAATTTGTGGTGGTTACAGGCTGCTGCCCTGCCAAGTCTGCAATGGATCCAAAAAATCCGTTCATAGGAACCATTTTACCGCCGAATTTGTCGCACTTAAGTGCATGAATTGTGATGAAGTCGGTTTAGTAGCATGCGAGTCATGTTGACCCCGACTCCGATGAGAAGTGTGATCGAATTTAAGTATAATAGTTGCATTTTTGTTTTTTTTATTTAACCAGTAGTGGGCTACTTGGCCTCATACTGCATACAACTGGAAAACCGTTTATATTTTTGGCGCAAAACCATTAAACATTTTAAAATCTTTTACTTTTCTGCATTCAAAATAACCCTTTCAAAATATTAGCAAGTTCATTAAATGAATAAAGTAATTAATATATAATAATCGTAATAAATCAGAAATACAACTTGTCTGTAACCTGATTATACTAAGACCAAAAAAATATTAACAGGTGCACAAAATTTGTTTTAACAGTAAGTAACCTAGGTAGACCAAGCTTTAATATGCACAGTATATCAGGGTGGATTTAATGAGCTTAAATTTTAGAGAGTTTGAAAAAAATATAATTGATTACTCTCTATGTGAAACTTCTGATATTTGAAAATTGCCAGTCGAAACCGAGACACTGATAAATAAATTTCAATCAGCATTTAACGAAAGCGTTGTCCCAAAATTCTTTGAAAAATGAAAATGAAGATCTAGTATAAAACTTGATATCGATTGATATCTATAATTATCTACTTCAATAATTTAGACTGCCGTACTTACATTAAATTTTTGAAAACTGCCATAAACTTTATACTTCTTTCCTATGTAGAACAATATCAACATAAACTAATTTTTTTATGAATCTGGATGTTGAGATAAACATACTCAAACAAATTTTAATTTAACACGACATAATATTGTGAATCGTTATATATATATATATATATATATATATATAATTTTCACAAATTTATATTAAACGTTCTTGGTAACAATTTCATGTTATCAAGTTCGTAATCATAAAAAATTTACTAGAAATAAGTGTGCTCTATAATCATAAATAAATTATCAAAAACACGAGGAGAAATTAATATAAAAGAGACATGATAAATTAATATTTTATTAATAATTATAATTACATACAAAATGTTTTTCAAAAATTCAGACCACGTCAGTGTAACTGTAAACTATATTAAAAGTTTATCAAGAACGCTAAAGCACTTAAGAAAATAACTCATATAAAATAAATATCTTAATATTGTGAAAAAAATAATTGCCAAGAGAATAGTATTTCTTTTTACAGGGTTTTATTATGACTTTATTATATTATTGTTATAGTAGTATAATTTGCTGTGCATTAATTGCTTCTAGATTTTTACCAATTTGTAAATATGGATACGGTGGAAGAAAGATAGTTATAATTATAAAAAAGCTGTTACATATATTAAATTGTTTTTAAATAATTTTTATGTTATATCTGTATCTTCAAAACAGTAGAAAATGATATTTTTTTCTACCAATATGGTAGATTTTTTTACTGAACATGATTACTATATTGAATATAATTATTTCTAATTGTAAATATTTTTGTAAATTAACTTTCTTATAATAAATATTTATAACAAAACTTATTTGGTTTAAATTATATCACACTATACTCAATGTTCAGAAACGAAACAAACTGATGAGAAAATAATCACATTTGAATGAATTTGAATATTCGCTTTAATAATAGGCAAACTATCATTAAATTTCCTTACAATATATTTTATCTATCTATATGAGGTTCTTCTGGAATTGAATTCTTCTTGCCTTTTTCACTTGATAATCTGACCATTTTAGACTTCTGTTAGCATTTACATTGTTGTCACTAACCTATATTTAATTTTTAACTTCAGTTTCATTTTGTAACGATATTATATAAAATATACGTTATTCGCAAAAACGACGATATTTGACACGTTTTAGGCACATTTTTTAAATATAATATATTTATATAAGTATTGAATGTTTTTTCGAAGTTGAAACATTTTTGTTATATAGCGACCAATTCGTCGAATTAATATTAATTAATATTATAATAATATACTGAATATTAATATTAATATATGATTAATATACTTAATATTATAATATTATACTGACTATATTCTTCCTACGATTGGCACTTGATATGAGAAAATAATACATATATAGTAATAATAATTCCTATCAATAGAAATCAAATGTTTTTGAACCATTCAAATCGGTTGATCCGTGCGCCCGAAAACGTGAACGAAAAAATGCGGACACACAAAATACACTCACACACACACATCCATTTTTCTGAGTTGTGCCAAAATGTTCAGAAACTTCTGAAACGTAAAGATATGCAAAAAAAATTATTTTCGATTTTCAACCCATTACTATAACTTACCCTACGGGAAGTTAATAAAGAAATATTTATGAAAAAGCTCTCCAATAGTTATATATATTAATAATATATACATTTACTTATTCAATCAGCATATTTTATAATCATAACTTCCAATTATATACATATCAATAAGATATACATTTACCATTCAATCAATATGTATTATAATCAAAGCGTACTAAACTAATTATGTAGCCCTATATATAGGACGCGCTCTGATTTTCAATCTACCCAAGTAGATGTTTTGGTTTAAGTCATAAAATTAAAACATTTTCGATAAAAAACTCAATTGAACACCAAAACATAAGAAAAAATAAATAAATCGCCAATGAATAGAATAAACGTTTGTAACCACAGTGCCCAAGTATCAATTTCATATGGAGCTATAATTAAATTATATTCCTATTTACAGTTATTTCTAAGCCTACCTACAGACTATTCAATTAAGTACCTCCCTGGTACTAAATAACTAAAGATTAGGACCCTTGGCTCCTGTGAATCAACAAAAGGCAGAACATTATTGTCGGACTATCTGCTCTCGGAAATCACTAGATACTAGGGCTAAGCTCGCTGGCTCAGTCGCGGTTAGTTTGTATAGAGTCGACGTCGAAAGAGGTTGGTGAAGGAATTAATAAAAATTCAAAAGTGCAACTTTTTATAATTATAATAATAATAATTAGTTCATAAAAAGTTATAAATTATGTTTATTCAAGTTTTAAAGTTTGAGATTTGAAATAAAAAATATCGTGCGAATTAAGTTATGTCGTGTAGTGTTGTGATGGTAAAAACACAAGTGAAAGAAATGTTTGCAAACGGTGTTTTGAATTATTGGATTAAGTTGTAGTTATCAATTATATGTAAGTAATAAGAACTAATATATTTAATATATAAATATCATGAGCTACAATTTTTGATTGACAACTTTTTTTGCTTACTTTATTGATAAAATATGAAGTTTAAGACGTCAATAAAACAAGGATTTAATAATAAGAAGCTATAACTCCTGATTCTCAAAATATTTTCCAAATTTTTTTTTATAAAATATGCAGTTTAATATATTAATATAACGAGAATAAATTAATAATAGGATTTTTTCTAATGCAAATTAAATTTAATAAGACATAGATTTCGATTATAAAAATATTTTTATGTATATTTATGTTATTATTTACTTATGTTACTAGATGTTATATTATTTAGCAGTCCTAACAGATATTGTAATTAAAAAAAAAATTAAAAATAGATTATGCACTTTAAAACAAAAAAGGAGCAATGATATAATTAATAATAGCTATTGTTTTTTATTACAAAAATGTTTTGCCTCCTCTATTAATAAAATATGCAGCTTCTATCTTAATATAACGAAAATTTTATTAATAACAAGCTAAAGCTTTTGATTATTAAAATGTTAATTTGGTGTAGAAATTATGTTTAATTTAGTAATCGAAACTTGCACAAATAATGCATATATAATAAATTATAAAAAAAAACAAGTAAATAGAGAACGGGCCAATGAATGTACTCTAAATTGAGATTTTATTAGATTTATTATAAAAACAAAATTTAAAAATATATTGACCATTTTCTATATATTTGTTCCAATTATTAACTTTTTTGAAACGTCCAAAAATCGAAAATGAACATTTTTGCGTATCTTCACGTTTCAGAGGTTTTTGAAAAATGGATGTATGTATTCATTTGTGTAACCGATTTGAAAAATTCAAAAAACCTTCGATTTTGCCTTAAAGCACGATGCCATGCGCCAGTAGTTCATTTATCCACCAGTTATCCATTATTTCCATTTCACAAAAAAATCAGATAAAATATAAAAGCAAGAATGCATCAATTCATCCACTACATTGCAACATAGTTAAAAAAAATATTTTCCAATATACCCCAATTTTATAAAGCTTTTGCCGGGTTTGATAAAAAGTGCTATTGTTGAATAATAATACAGGGAAGATATTGAAACATGCAATAATATATGTATACACATATATTTAAATGCATTAAAAACTACCATGCATTATGTAATATAGCAATAATTTAATTAACACTGTTTAATAGTAAAACCGTTGACCGATGATAAAAGTGCAATAATTTACGTAAATAAAAACTTTATGAAGATACTAATTTTGTGTGTGTGTGTGTGTGTCAGTGTGTTTGTGCGAATGTATAAATTGCATATTTTCTCACCATTAGGATCATTATTCAGGTACCATTTACCATTTTCTCCTAATCTGGTAGAGATTAAAAATGGAAGAAACATGGTATGCAGCTGCGCAAATTGGGGTTAATAAAGGAGCAATTGCAATCTTCAACGATTCTATGAAAAACTCACAAATCATCAGTTATCCACGCTATGCAACGATATTTGCTTCTGTTTGTGCCATATTATTTATTATTATAGGAGTTTTAGGTAAGTTATAATAATTGTTCGAAAAATATATTTAAGGTTTTTCTATAGTTGATTGGTATGCGACATCGACCTTCTTTTATGTCTGCTTGCATATTTAAAAAATTAATAAACCATTTTAGCAAATGCTATCTTGGTACAAAATCGTACATTTTATTAAGTGATGTCACGAAAAATTGTCTTTAATTAATTAAGTAATAAAAATATTCCATTAATCAATTTCAGGTAACTTAGTCACCGCTTTAGCTTTAATTTGCTGCCCGCGTTTGAGGTCGCATGCGACAACAGCGTTTGTTTTATCACTATGTGTATCAGATCTTATTTTTTG